ATTTGTTTGGCTCAACTATGCTCATTTGTTAGGAGAGTTTGGGGGGTAGCCAAGTGGTATGATTGATAGAGTACAGAACCTGAGTCAGTAAAAACTGCATTAAAATCCTGCCTCAGGTACTTACTATCCATGTAATTCTTGGCAAGTCATTTAACCTCTCTAAGCCTCAGTTTCTAATTTGTAAAATGGGAATAATATATAAAGATCAAATGAAATAACATAAAATGCTTTTCAAACCTTAAAATGCTATGTAAATGGAATGATAAATAAGCACTTTCTTTCTCATTGTTTTATGCAGGAGGGGGCAGTGGGAGAAAACAAATGCTTATAAAAATTAACTAATAAATTAATTTTTTAAAGTGAGCTTTTACTGCTCTAAACAAGAACACCACACCACTCTCTGGCCAGCTTCAAGCCACCTGGGTGCTCCTCTGTCTCACATTCTGCCACTGTTGTCCAACACAAATACCTGTCACATCTTTCCAACACTAGCTCTATTACAGGTGTTGTCATCCCCCATTCTAAGGCTTGAGGAGTTCACTTGTACTGCCATTCCTTACTAAAGTGCCTGGCACGGTAGTAGACCCTTAATAAATGTTCATTCATTCATTTATTCATTCAATTCTACTTCTAAAATGACTGTTCTTTCTTGTCATCAGAAAAGCTGAAAAATTCTTGCAGAACATTTCCCTGCCCCCAGCCTAGCATTCTGCAGCAGATTTCAACACAGTGCTGTGCTCCACAAAAAGCTCTCCCACTGTCATCCCCAGTGCTCAGAGGCAGCCAGCAGACAGAGGGAGTTCCCTTTGGTAGTATTTCCTCTAAGAGCAATGACTCTTAAATGAAAAGGGCTTGCAGAAGTATAATCAATGGTCACGACAAACTGCAAATCACTGGCAGGTTGCATTACTGACCTACTTTCAGAGTATGTGAATATAGATTTTTGAGACTGCTAAGGCTTACATTTATGGTCTAATCTGGACTTCTGTCCCTGGCAAAATAACCCATCCTCATTTGGGGAGACAAGATGGAAATAAACTTATAGAATGAGTATATGCTGAGAAAAGGGAGTGTAGAGGATGCTTCAAGGGCCCATAACAGGTAGGTGGGTTTACCAGCTGAAGTCCGCTCTGCTCCATTGTCATTTGGCCCAACTCACTCTATTTCTTTTATCCAAAAGGTACAATACTACCAATGACCACCTCACTCCTTTTTCAAGAGAAAAATGACTAAATAAATACAGCCATAGGACAGTAGAAATGGCAACTGGTTTTGGAGTCAGAGAACCTTGGTTAAACTCTCAACTCTGTTGCTCACTATTCTAGTGAACTTCAGTGTGTTGAGTGTTGAGTTGAGTTTCTTCATCTAAAAAAATTAGGGGATCAGGTTAGATAATATTTAAAGTTCCCACTAGCTACGAACATACTACAAATCCTATGATCCTCTATAATTTGGCCAATGGAAGGAATGTATTACATAGTCCCACTTCACCTGGGCTATTTTTTACAGAGAACAAGAACTATTGAACACATGCAGTGACCTGGCAGTGAATGCACAGACCATCCATATTTCTTTCTTTCTTTTTTTTTTTTGATTAGGCAATGGGGTTAAGTGACTTGCCCAGAGTGACACAGCTGGTGAATGTTATGTGTCTGAGGCCGCATTTGAACTCAGGTCCTCCTGACTTCAGGGCCGGTGCTCTATCCACTGTGCCACCTAGCTGCCCCCAGACCATCCATCTTTTTAGGCCCAGCTAAGACCAAAGCTCAAAAATAAAAATCTCCATGGAAATTTTTATTGCCACATAAAAATCTCAAATGGAAAGAGGGTGGTCTTGATTAGTAATAGTGATAATGAAAGGCTAGAAAAGTGGTTCTTGTTTGTTATTTTCCTTTAATCATCTGGACACAGGCAGAACTAGTTTTTGCCAAATGGTGCTTGCTTGCCATCGGTGCCAACCAAACTCATGGGCCCATTCTACCAGCACAAAACTTAATGGTGATGCAAAAGGAATGACAACAGAAATCAAGAGAATTCTTTGGCTATAGATCACCTTTCCTGTTATTCCCCAACTCTTGCTAGGTATAACATGAGCTTTACACAAAAATTCAAGATCACACACTTTGAAACCTCTTCAGGCCTAAGCCAGGAGGCATATAGGGAACCATGATACATAAGGTGGTTGTAAACCACTCTTGTTATTGGTACCCTACACCTGGTACACAGAGCCACCATTACCCATATACATTGTATAGGCTTTAGTTGGTTATACTTGGTTACTTGGGCTCTTAACCCTTTGTTCTTCAGGCTTTAGGTGGCTAGACAGCCAAAGACACTTGTACAAGGACTATATCTATAAGGACAACCAATAGTTGGATATTTAGGATATCCTGGTTTGGGGAAGTTTTCCCCTTTCTTCCCTTAGTGGGTCTACTGCCTTCTATCCTAGAGAGGGAAATGAACTGGAGCCAAGAACTGATGATAGAAAGTCTAGTGTAACTTTTATCTTATGTAAAGAGAGCAGTGGTGCTTTATAGCAAAGGTAAGGCAACCAAAGTATGGCAGGTCACACAGACCAAGGGATTTTCTTAGTCATGTTACTGCTTTATTTTAGTGCCATCGCCCTTCTCCCCCCTAAAAAAGTGCCTGAAGTCTAATGTTATTCAAGGAAGCTATCCCTAGGCTCAAATACCTTTACTATTTCTCCATTGGCTCCATTCTCAATAATTGGCTTCAACTAGTATTTATTAAGCACTGTCCTATGCCCTAGGGATACATACAGAGATAAAAATTAAATAGTACTTGACCTCAAGCCCTTAAATTCTTGTACATTGATAAATATATGTATATGTGTGTGTATATATGTATGTATGTGTGTATGTATATACATACATACATAAACACACACATGCACATATACACATACAGACGCTAAATACATAGACACTAAATACAACATTTACTGGGGAGAAGGAAGACAAACCATTTGCTGGAAGAATCAAGAAGAAAGTCTTTCGATTCTAAGAGTTTGGAGCAAGGAAGAGAGCATTTCAGGCCTGAGGGATAGGTGATACAAAGGCATGGTGGTAGGACATAAGACATAGAGAACAGAAAACAGGGCAGTTTGGTTGGAGCATACAGTGTGGGGACATGTGTGTGGGGTGTGTGTGTGTGTGTGTGTGTGTGTGTGTGTGTGTGTGTGCACGCGCGTTAATGCATAATCAAGCTGGAAAGATAAATTGGAGACATTGTGAAGGGCTCTAAATGCCAAATGCAGGAGTGTTTATTTTATATTAGAGGCAATAAGTAGCAACTGAAACTTCTTTTTTTTGGCTAGGCAATGTGGTTAAGTGACTTGCCCTGTGTCACACAGCTAGTAATTGTTATGTGTCTGAGGCCGGATTTGAACTCAGGTCCTCCTGAATCTAGGGCCAGTGCTCTATCCACTGCACCACCTAGCTGCCCCTAATTGAAGCTTCTTGAGAAGGGGAGTGACACAGTCAACCCTTTGTTTGAAGAACATCAGTCTGAGGAGTACAGACTGGGACCCAACTGATTTCTCCCAAAATTCCCCTCCAAACAGCTTCAAAATAACATAAAAGAAAGAGAAGAAAAACTGTTTTGCACAACTAATCAACACAGTGACCATGTATGACGTCCATAAAGCGTGGGAAGAACAGGAATATTCTCAGCCCTTTTTGCCTAAAGACTTCTTGCCCTCTGCCATTTACATGAGTTATTCCCTTGCCAGAGCAGATCGTAAAGGGAGCATTCGGCAGCCTGGGGGCGATCGCTCAGAGATAACTGAGGGAGGCGGTCAGCGGTGTTTTCTAGCTGCTAGGCATCTTCTTTTCCTTTTCTCTCCTTCCTCTCTCCTTTTCTTTTCCCTTTCTTCCCTTCCCTTCAGTTTCCTGGACCTTTTCTTCTCAATCTCTATTTTAGAGCAGGGAAAGCACAGGGCTAGTAGTCAAAAGATCTGAGTTTGAGTCCTGTCTCTGACAATTATCATCTGTGTGTCCAGTGGTAATTGATTCAGCCTTTTCCAGGCTTCTGCTAACCTCAGCTCCACAATATTCTTTAAGAAAATGAACAAACTAAGCTTTATTGGGCCTGCTGATATGCCATTATCTTGAAACTGTCAGCAAATGCCAATGGGAAGCTAAATGTAAAAGAAATCTCATAGCAATGAAGGAAGTCTTGTGGGATCATTCAGACACTCAGTTCTGTTTTAATAGGTTCTAAGGGAACTATGACAGCGCCATCTTATAGAAAGTTTCTATTTAACCCCCAGGGTCCATTTTCTCATTTCAGAAGCATTTTAAAAACCACATATTTACAATCACTAAACTCACTCACAATTGGACAGTGACAGAATTCTTTTGCCCACTCTGAAAATTCCTTCTCATCCTATCCCCACACTGTAGATAGGGGTTAGGAGCTCTTAGAGAGCTGGAGTCGAAGTAAAGAAATTCATTTACTGACCGCTTCAGACAGTTTTTAGAAGATTAATCCTTGTTTGTTTTCTGTCATTGAGGAATATGCCCATAAAGAGTGTCAACTCTATTGGACAGAAGTTCCACGGCCCTACTGTCAACTTTTTGTCATTTTGCTTCTGGCTCCCCAAAATTTTATTCTCAGGTGGAATTTTCCTGTTTTCCCTCAAGTTATTCTGCACAAAGGCAACTGTGCTGCTCCTGTAATTTAAACATCATTTCAATTAGGCACATGGCACATCCCACCCCCTTCCTTTAATCCTTTCATGCCTTTTGAACAAGTCCTTTCCTGGCACCTACTTTTAAAATGGCTTCTTTTAAATTACAACCACGGTTCAGGTATGGCAGAAACAAAAATGAAATGTTGAAAGGAAAAGATATAGGGAAAAAAACAAACTTCGGCTAAATCTGTGTCTTGGAACTTCCCTGTTCTGTGCCACTGCCTGCATTACCATAGAGACCGCTCTGCTCACGCCATCGATACTGACCAAGGCAGTTAGTACTTACTGTGATGGTGCTTTCCTTGCTCTGTTTCTTGCCTGGAGATGGAGACCCTGGGTTCTGGCAAGAAAGGAAAGAAGCATCATCAAAGCTGCTCTCCATATTTGGCATTTTTTGCATCCTGATTTTCAGAGGAGGAACGAATGCCTAAGCCTGGTGCCAAGGAATCCCAATATATTCAGTTTAACTCCTAAGTCACCATGCCCAGGACAATGGAAGACAACAACATGCAGCTCCCATCTTAGCTCACTGAAGCAGAGATAGAGTGCTACTTGTTAAGACAATTCACTCAAACCAGGTCTCTACCTACTCTCATAATCAGATTGTGATTTGGGGAGTTAACCCTTCAGCTACCCTTAACTACTCTGCTATTGACTCTGCTACATGATACCCATAGAACTCACGGAGGACTAAAGCACTCTTTGCACTGCGAATTTAATAAATGGTTTCTTATTCTGAAATATCCAGGTTTGGGGATCTGGAAAAATACTACGAGGAATATAATTCAAAATTCAGATTTCTTTGCTGTCTCTCTCCGAATTCAAGTGAACCACAAGTGATTTTCAGTTAAGGAGTTTTCAGTTTTCATTTAGCCTATTACTTCTCTCTTATTTTCTTCCTTTTCCCAGGAAGGAAGGCATGGTCCCAGTCACTTTGAGTCCATACATTTCCTAGGTGATTCCTGAGGTTTTTGTAATTTAAAGCTTGGATAACAAAGAATGCTCAGACCAAAATAAAATTTCCTGGTAGCACAGGTCACGGAGGATAGACAGAGTCAAAAAGTTCTGGGACCTTTTTTGTCCAATCAATGTGTAAGTGACTGAATACAATCAGGGTTCCCAGAGTAGGACTTTTAACAGCAATTTCCTGCTTAGAACATTTCAATAGTAAGAATGAGATAAAACACTGGACAACATTATACATTTGTTTAATGACTTACATCCTTGTGCTTTCTTTTTTCTTTTATTGGGTGGGGCAGAGGTAGCAAGGAGAGGATTACAGGTATTTTACAGACAAACTAGGGGTCAACAAATATTTGATAATGTAAATTGTACTATGTAAAAGTCATGGCATACAAGGTGCAATGAGAACAAATTATATAATATACATATATATATATACACACACACATGCATATATATATATATATATATATATACACAGCTATATTATTACTTTAAGATGTGCAAAGCTCTTTCTATATGTTATTTCATTGATCCTCATAAAAACCCTGAAAGGTAGGTGCTATTATTATCCCCATTTTACAAATGAGGAAACTGAGGCTGACAGGGGGTAAGAGACTTACCCAAGGTCATACCACTAGCAAGATTAGACCTCAGATCTTCCTAACTCTCAGTCTAACACTATATCAACTATGACACTTGATTCCCTAAAATGAAACAGTTCCCTCTTTCAAAGAGTTTACATTCCATTTGTAGGATACATGTGCATAAATAAAATTGAAGGTAATTTGAAATTTACTAACAACTAAGTGAACCAGGCAAGATTGCCAATATGAGGTAGCACCTGAGTTTAGCATATAAGGAAGCATATTTCAGGCATGGGGGACAGCCTATGAGGTAGAACAGAGACAGGAGATGGAGCACTGAATTTGGAGAGCAACTAGTAGGCCAATTTGACTGTAATGTGAAATAATTATCCATAGGTGTTAGCCAGACTATGGAGGGTTTTAAATGTACCAAAGAGGGGAGTTTGCATTCTATCCTAGAGGCAATAGGTACCCACTGAAGATTTCTGAGCAGTGCAGTGACCTGGCAAGTTCTGTGTCTTAGAAAGACTAATTCATCCACTATTGGCTATTTCAATAGTCCACGGGAGACATGATGAAGGCCTGAACTAGAAGAGTAACCTTATAAAATGGAAAAAAGGGGACAGATTCAAAAGATAGGTAAAGGATGGATAAGGTTTGACAACTGATTGGATATTGTTGGAAAGGTGAGAGAGAGGGAAAAGTTGAGTCATAAAAATTGATGTTATAAGATAGTATTCTCATCAGAAAAAAACAAAATTTGAAAAGGAACATGTATGGGGAAAAAGAACAGTTCCACTTTACTCATGTTGAGTTTGAGATACTGATAGGACTTCAAGTAACATATCTAGCATGCAGCTGGTGATGTAGGATTAGCATTCTGGAGAGAGGTTAGGGTCTGATACATAAACCATTGGATAGATAGATCATTTGCTTAGAGATAATAACTGAGTCAATGGAAGCTGATGAGATCACTTAGAAAAAGAGTACACAAGAGGAAGAGGAAATGGCCTTGGGGTAGACTCATACTTGTAGGATAGGAGATGGATGATGATCCAGCAAAGGAGAGTGACAAGGAGCATTCAAATAGGTAAGAGTAAACAGAGAAGATAACCATCATGGAAGCCGAGGGAGGAGGGAATATCCAGGAGTAAAGGGGGTAGTCAGTAATACCATAGTTTCAGAGAGAGAAAATAAGATAATGCCTGAGAAAAGGTCATTGGGTTTTTCAGTTAACAGAGAACAGCTTCAGTTGAATGATGGAGTCAGAAGATTGCAAGGGGTTGAGAAGGTAATTGGATAGTTACTACTGCACAAAATTATTGTGAGGCTTAAATGAGATATTTTGCAAAGCATTCTGCAAAATTTCAGATATGCACACATATGTATATATTTAAAGAAATGAGTAGGAGGTAAAAAATGAAGGCAACTAATCTTGATACTCTTTCTAGGAATTTGGCTATGAAAAGGATAGGAGATATAGGATAAGGAAAATAATTTGGAATTTGGAATTGTGAGAATAATGTCACCATACTTCATACTGTTTGAGCAAAAGGAGTTCAGTGACATAAAAGTAAAAATGTAAAAATACGCATAGCAGCTCTTTTGGTGGCATGAAAAAATTGGAAAAGAAGTCAGCACCCACCAGTTGAACAATGGTTAAACAAAATGTGACACATAAACTTAATAGGACATTTCAGTGAAGAAGTATTGAACGTGAAGAAGCCAGACAAATGTGAGAAGGCCTTTAGGAACCAATGTAGAACAAATGAAGAAGACCCTGGAGAAAAATATGCACAATTACTACAATAAAGTAAAAGTAAACACTTAGAAAGTCATCCAAATTCAGATTAACTGCAATGACCAATGACAGTCCTTTGAATATAATATCTGAAGACAAATCATCATGTCTTCCCTTAGTCTTCTCTTCCTGAGGCTAAACATCTCCAGTTCCTTAAAATGTGCCACAATTGACAGCGTCCAGATTTTCTACCACCTTAATCATTGCATACTGAAAGCCTTCTAGGTTGTTAGTGTTTTTATTTTAATCTGGAGATGAACAGTATACTCCAAGTAAAAATAAAAGCTCACATTTACATAAGAGCTCTAAGGTTTGCAAAAGCACCTTCTTCAAAACAACCCTTCAGAGGAAGTATTAACACAGGTATTATTATCTCCATTGTAGAGATGAAGAAACTGAGATACAGAGAGGTATACAGGTTAACAAACAAAAAATGTTGGGCTTGGAACTGAATCCTGTTCTTCAGGCCCTGAATCCTATGACCTTTCTATTCCACCATCTATTCCAGATTAATTTGACTGAAGCGGAATGCGGTGAGGTTATCACTTCCTACAATCTAGATACCAAAGTTGGAGGGTGTATGGGAGTAGAATATTGCAGGCACTGTCACATGGTTCATACGGCAGTTAATTTTGCTAAACTGCTCTTTCTTGCTTGCTTGCTTTTTTTTCCCTTCAAATCATTGTGTCAGGTTATCCTTTTCGAAAGGAGTAGTTTAGTGTTGAAAAGAGCATGAAAACACTTTGGGGAAAAAATATGGATATATCAAGTGGTAAAGGATGTAAGAGAGTGTGTCTTTGATAAATGAACATTTTGATGCCTAAAAGTAGTATGAAAAGAAATTTGGTTTAAAACTGCTGCAAATCTGTATATGATGAAACATAGTTTTCAAATGTGATTTGAGCAATTTTTGATAGAAAATGAACTGTGGTGTAAATATAACAACTCAAATCACCTTGTGATGAATGTAGAATTATGCCTCATTTGTATATGGACAATTTTGATGGTTTACATGAAGCAGAGAAATTATTTTTATTTTTTAAAAATATGAAAAATCTGAGTATGAAGAAACAGTTTCAAAGACACAAAATGAGATGCATGATCATGTTAAGAACTTAGAACTGCAGAACACTGCGATCTCTCAGCTAATCTGTTTTAAGATTTAAGACAGTAAACCTAAACAGTGAGAATTTATATAATTATTTGGAAAAAGTTATTATTTTAAAAGGACTGTTAATCGTTCAGGAAAGATTTGGTGAGTTGCTACCTTTTAAGTGAAAGATGCAGCACTAAATGCCAGAAGACTCTTTCTTAAGGTGTTGAAAAGTACTGGAGATAGTTGCATAGATTCCCAAAGTGGGTTATACCACCCCCTGGGGGGTGCTAGAATGATCCAGTGAGGCAGTAGTAGCCTTGGGTACAATTGGGCAGCATTGAATAAAAATAAGGGTTAACCTAACCTAACCCCAGGGGGGCGATGAATAGTTTTTTTTTTTTTAAAGGAGGTGGTAGGTCAAGTAAATTTGGGAACCTCTGGGACTCTAGAGTTTGAGGCTGGCATAGTGTAGAAATTGAATAATATTTCAGAAGACTCATCAAGGGTGTGAAAAATGTTTTTTATCAGACCTGTTTGAAGAGATAAACAACAGGGTCAGTCAAGCAACAGAAAATCTTTAGCTACATAATTCCTGGTTGGTTGCTCAGAGGCTCAATCACATTGAACCAGAACTTCAGTTCTAGATAATCTTCTTCAGCACCTCCTGAAGTTAAGAGAGGTGAAGCCTCTAAGAAGTACCTGTTATTCTTTGCTGTTCCCTTCTGGTTTGGAGAAGAAAAATAAGAAAGGAGAAAGACAGGCTTTACAGATTCTATATAAAGAGAGAAGCTGAGCTTCAACTGGACAGTGCAGAATTTTGGTAAGGTTTGTTTGCCTGACTCAGAGAGTCAATTTGAGATATTTTGCTGTAACTTATTTTTGCTACAATTTGT